AAGGGCGGCAGCTTGTTGGCGATCGCGTACTGCTTGCCGGTCGTGTCGGTGACGACGGCAATCTCGAGGCCGTACTGGAAACCCTGTGCAGAGAGGGGGAGCAACTCGAGCAGGCGGGTCGGACGGGGGGAGGGGTGCATTGGGGGAGCCGCCCGCGAGCGCGGTGCAGCCGTGGGGCTCACCGCGACAGCAGTCCCCTTCTGCGCCTCTGAGGCGGACACGAAGGGCACCCACTTCATTTTCGTCGGAATGTTTGCGGGCTTGTCACCCATCGCGACTGAAACAGCGGCGAGGGAGCATGAGGGGGCGAACGGCGGCGGCGGCGGCGGCGGCGGAGGAGGAGGAGGAGGGGGGCGCGAAGGGATGCCCGGGCGCCGGTGAGCGCGGCTGCGCGGGTAGCCCCGCATGACCGAGCAGCCGGCGCCCGAGATGTGAGGACGCTTTCAGGGACCATTGCGCGGGGCCGCGACGGACCTGCGGCCCGGCTCGTAATCGTCGGCGCGCTGCCGATGCTGAGCGCATCGGCCGAGCAGAGGGCTGCGAGCAAGAGGGTCGAGGTGCGCGACATGGCGATCTCGAAGCACCAAGGGCTTTATTACACAAAAGAATTCTTGACGCGCAGAGGCTGCGACAAGGGCGCAGACTGGCGCGGACTGGCACACACACAGGCTCACCAAAGAATCTCCCCCACGTAGTGCGCTGATTGGTGGCGTGCCGTCCACAGAGTGGGAGACTCCTATCACCGCCCTGCCACCCACGTGAGCCTTTTGGCCGCCTCTGTCAGTGTGCCCGTGGTAGCGAGAGACTGCTGGTGAGAAGCCGGAGGAAGGTCGCTAGTCGAGAGAGATCGCCAGTGGAATAGGGAGTCCACCGTGCTGCGAGCCTGTCGCTGTCCCTTGTCAGGAGCAGGAGAACTAGGAGAGCGCAACCAGTAGGAGGCCCGCGCCTGCCCCCGTGCCGCCGGGTGCAACCTGTCCTATACGAGAGAGGAATCCCTGGGACCCTGTCGTGTGGGTGAACCCTGCCCAGCCCCCCTCCGTGTCGCGATGCGCTCCCCGCTCCCGTTCCCCTGTGTCCCTGATCGTCCTTACAAGATCCTGCTCGTGCAGGTGGGGACCCTGTCTGTCCTTCTCCCACCCCTGACCGTCGCCGTTGCGGTGGCGAGCGAGAGGAAGGCCGCCTTGGCGGACGGGTTGGCCAGCGAGAAGGAGGAGACGACGTCGAAGCCGAGGGTGCCTAGAAGTAGAAGTAAGCGACTGTGAAACAGATGAACACGCTCTCACGCCATCGAAAGCGAGGGTGCCGTCGGCCGCAGCAGCGAGGATCGAGTCGCCGGCGGAGAGGGAGGAGAGGAGGGCGGTCTCGCCGTCGGCGCGCTGCACCGTCGCAGAGCTCGGGAAGCACGGCGGGTCCACGTCAGGTGAAGGCGACGTTGGCGGCGGCGGCGTGGGCGGGGCGGAGGGCGGGGCGGTGGGCGGCGGCGGAGGTGATGGCGGCGAGGTTGGCGGCGGCGGCGGCGAGGGCGGCGAGGGCGGCGAGGGCGGCGAGGCCGGCGGCGAGGGAGGGCACGCACCCAGCCCCACGAGTAGGGCCACGCGCTCGTCTGTGCGCTCAAGCTGGCGTGGATGAGCTCCTTGTTG